GAAACAATCATCAATCGTAACCAACCATCCTAATAATAGTAACGCATTAATGCAAATACAACCTCGTCAGTCTTGTCGCAAACCATGGTGGATATAAGGAAGCGTAAATAGTCATACGATAGAGCGCATCTTAAGCCTCCCTGTGCGTGACGTCAACACAAGATGGCACCTCATCACCACGGGTTGAAATATAGGCGGCATTGATAAATCCATCAAGTCCGAAACCAGCAAAAAAATAATTAAAAATGTCCAAAAATATCTCATCTGAGATAACGGCAATAAAAAATGTTTATTTGAGGCTTTGGGGGTAAAAGGTTAGTTTTTTAAGACTTCTTTTAAGGATTATTTAAACGATATAGCTTATGAGTGCTGCGGGTTTGCATCGACGTGATATTTAGATTGCGTTTATTGTCAACAAATTTCTTCCTTTTTTTAAAGTCAAAGTGCGATCTTGTCACGCTCCGTGAATTTCTCTTCAAATAGGGATCTTATTCATAAAGATTGTTTGCGTGAAGCGTCCTTAAGTTTGTATACTACTGACAATAATTTGAGAGATTAGTTTATTCTCAGTAGATAAAATGTGCTCACTACTGTAATTGATAATAATAATTGTTTCTTCCTAAGGCAATACAATATATTCAATTAGAAATATGCGTGAAATGTTAAGTAAATGTGACGGATAAGATTAAACACTTGTATATTGCACGTGGATTGCATACAAAGTCCAAGGAAATAACGAAGGTTTACAACATCCTGTAGCCAACTTGAAAATGCGAATAATGTTTTTAAAATATTATCAGTAATAAAACTAACTTAAAATATTTAGTTTTCCAATTATTAGAAACTAACCAAAATTTTTGTTTTTTAATGCGCCGATTCTAATCATCACATAATATCTAGAGATTGACCTTTCATTAAAAAATATTCAAGATAATTTGAAAACAATTGTCTCAGTTTGAAAACGTCAGACGAATATTCTTCATAGAAAGCTCTGTGCACCACTCAAATGTTCCCAATGTCAATTTACTGGTGCTATGAGCGATTCTCACTTCTGGCCCTTTTCATTCTAGCACTTGTGTCCTGTTCGAGTAAAATGGTCCGGTTCGCGCTCCGTTTGTTTTCTATGCTGACGGCATCGTACGGCGTTTGAATCAATATAAAACCTATTTCGTGCTGTCCTTGCAAATATTACGACCCAAAAAATATGTCCTAATCCAAGAGTTCGAGTGCTTCGGACATAATTCCTCCACCGAACTGCTTTATATTCACATTATTACTGTACGTCCTTTGATCAATACCTGGAAAGTTGAAAAAGCATTGATAATCAAAGACCAAATGGTTAATGGAGTTCATTTTTTAACCAAATTTATTCCTACCTGTTCCAGCACGTTTGTCTTTTAGGGGCTTTGAACATTACAAATAATTAACATTTACACATGCACTCTCCTGTGAGCCATACGTGGTTCCAAAACACGTAATACTCGGTTTGTTATGTACGTGTATCACATGTGGCAGTCACTTTTAATCGCAAATATTTTTATGAACTCACAAAACATTGCACAGTTGTGGTTGGACTAGGTAGAACTTTTATAGAATCTGGAAAAACACCGGCTACGCACAAGAAAAATTTTATTTTTGGAGTACGGATTACATGACAGTTATTAATTATTATTATTATTTAATTATTATTACTTATAAAGTCGTTAGGACGAGTGTATATTTACTGTTTTAACAGGGAGAAAACCCAAATCAAACATATTAATTATTTGTGATTTGATTCTTACAGGAAACTTGAAAAAGGAAATTATTAAATTTAAATTTAAAGAAAATTAAGTTACAAAAAATTGGGATTTTGTAAATAAAATGTAGAGTAAAAGGATAAGTATGGTCAAATTTAAACTTAAAACGGATGAAATATTATTTTTGCAAGAAAGGTGTGATAGTATTCGTCGTCAAAATTATATTTTTGCCTAAATTAAACAGTGAAGGCCTGTTGTCATTCAAGAAAAGGAGTTGAAACTGTAAGGCTTTGTGAAGCATACTAAGGGTGTGGATTAGGAGCAAGTTTTCATTCACTATGACATTTGAGAGTTGGGGAAAATACCAGGTGCAAATTAATAATTTTCGGAATGAAATTTTATTTCGGAGAATTTGTTATTTTGTAGACATGAGTTTGCCGGCATTGGACCAAAAAGGGCCATCATAAGTAAGAGTAGAACGAATACTAGGTATCAATTAATTAATGCGAGTGAATGTGTATAGGTGATTTATAGTTAATGAGGAGGTGTAATTCAATTGATTTTAGTGTTTCGCGCTATGTATAATAATTTTTTAATTGGGCGTTTCATTTAGGTGAGAAGTAACGAAGGGGTTGATAGGCTTACAACGTGGTAAAATATTAGAGTAATGACAATTATCTTTTATCTCTTTTTAATCATATTCCCACAGGCAAATATTGCAAGTGACAACTGGTGGAATTTCTACTTGTGTATTTTAATGAATTTCCTACGCATCTTTTTCTCGCCATAATTCAGTGTACTTTATATACGTCACAATCCCGGATTTAAATACAATATGCCTTCGTATTTAAATTCTATAAAATTAATTAAATAATAATAATTAGAAACGTATTGGCATACCGAGAGATGTGTTTATGGATACACCAGGACAAGACGAACCCTTTATTCTAAAAGTTGCATTTTACGCCCAAGGACAAGTCTAATATCTAACACAACTTTCCTCGTATCTTTAACAATGCAGGGTTTTCATTTTAGAACTTGCACGAGGGCTTCTTCGGGGTGGAAACGAGCCTTTTTGCATCACGAGGCGCCTACTTTTATCGCTCTCCTCAGCTCGGCCAAATTCGATCTCGCAACCCAATCCAATCTCCCATCCTGCCCTCGGCCACCGGCTCACTCTCTGCCGCGCCAGGGGTCACGTGGCCGTCCTTGGCGGCGTAGCTTACAATGTCATCGATCACCGTGGACAGGAAACTGCGCTTTGGAAACAGATTCGAAAGCTTTCCTAGCATGAAGGTCTGTTATTGGAATCAGATTTTTTGAAAATATTAAAAGCAATGCTAATTATATTAACAGTTTATGATATATAATATAGATAAAATTAATAATAACTTATATTTTATAAATTATAATATGAATTAACATTAATTAACTTATTTGAATGAATCTATCGTTAATTACTAATGCATATAATTGCAAAAAGCGATAGAATGTGTTTGACGTTGAACCTTCAACTCATAATTTTAGGAACGAATGAAATTGTTTAAAAAATTTTCTCATTCCAATTAAATTATAGTTAGTAAACACCGTTTGAAAAAGTTATTATACATTTTTATTTCCTAAAAAACCTCTACATGAAACTGAAATATTCTATTTATATACTATTTTACCATTACCTACCACCTCTCTATTAGCTATATTTATTTATGTTCAGTTTCGTAATATTTTTACTAGCAACGTGTAAAACCCGACGTGTATGTAACAAAATGGCCCCAAATAAATTGCCTTGCTCTGACACGTTCATAATAAAGCTATTCGTCACCTTGCTCTGACAGATTTTCAATCTTCTGCATTCAATGCATACACAGTCCAACTTTTTCCAATTTTATTGCGACACTACTTTGAGGTCTTCATTCGGCATGCCAAATGTATCTAATGAATACTGATAAAATGGAGCGAAAACAAGTTTTCATAACAAAATAACAAAGATTCATTTTTTTTAGATCTCAATTCATTTATTTTGAATGTGCGAACAAATTCTAATTGGACAATCTCAAAATACTTTTTATTGGAATAACGTAGTCCATGGTGTGAAAGATTAGCAACAAAAAATATATTTACGTAGATTTGACCACTTGTAAATATAATAATTATCCATCTATACGAGTGGCGGGAAATGGGTGGTCCGAAATGAGGGAGTAAACGACGAGGGGCGGGCGCCAGTGAATAAAGGTGAGGCGGACAGCGCCGAGGGGTGAGCCGCGTGATAGGAGGCCTTCAGTCGCAGGGAAATCGCTGCGAAGTCGAGGAAATCGGGGCGGGGCAGATGAGGGCCGTCAGTCAGTCGATGGATATAGCTGTAGGAACGATCAAAGGAGGTAAAGGAGAGCGAAGGACATTCGCGGAGGAGAGAAATGGATATCACAAAATATTGTATGGGAGGGGGGAGGGCTTCTGAAAACGACGCGCAACACGGGGCAGTAAAACGTGAGGGGAATCTCCTAAGAGAACAGAATTATGGAACCAGGATATTGTGCAAATCCTACAACATGAGTGCAGCACCAAATGGCAGGTGGAAATTTATGAACGTCGTCTCGTAAGGTATGAATAGAAAAGCGAAACAACTCGTATAAATACAAGAAGGAGGAAAAGGTGGTGAATAACAGATAGAAACGAGATAGAATAATAAAGGCATAACACAGACAAATAGGTTCGATAAAAGGCATAACACAGACAAATAAGAAGCTTCCATCGCCAGAACGAATGGTAGGATGAAAGCTGCACAACTCACGTGTACATGGCTGACATGCGACTCAATCGCAAGTCAGGGGCAGCAGATGGGCGGCATAAGTAGTTCTAGAGCGGAAAGTACACAGGTGAAATTTGGAAAGTGCTGCACGCAAAAGGCGACGGCTGGAACAAATTGAAAACAGAGAGGAAAACGCGTCTCTAAGCGGTATGCTGATGAATAAAACGCGCAGCCATTGTGGGATTAGAAAAAGGACGCAATTGGTAAGGTTTTTTTTTACGTAAATGGAAATATTGTAGATTCAAATAAAACGAGGAAAATTGACTTCGTTTGAAAAACGTATACTAATTTTTTTCGTGGAAAAACGTTTTTGGATGTCAGTGTGAAAGACGGCACAGAAAACAAATAGCTGAAGAAAATCAAGAACAACCGAAAATAAATGAAAAGCAGAGGAAGAAACGAAATTTCAACAATCCAGAAGTGACCTGCACCAAAGATTTTCAATGTGTCATATGCTACGTGGAATATTCGTGGCCATCGCAGATGGTAATGGTATGAGCAATGTACCAATTTACTTTGCCAAATTTAACTCTTCCAAGAATGAAAGAAAACAATGAAAAAATGATAATTTAAATAATACACTGTGTTCGCAATGGTTTCCTTTTGGTCTCGTTCGCCAGATTTGTAGGTGAAAACATACGTACATGAATCGAGATTGAAACACAAAGAGAAGATTGGTTATCGTATCAGAGGGCTTCACTGGGTTATAGTCGAGATGAAAGTATGACGAGCCAAAACGATGAACAGTGGTTGAGAAAACGAACGAATTGTATTATAATAGAATGACCTACGTATAATGAATAAATAATATCCTAGGAAAGTACTTGCCAAGAACAGAACAATACGGCTAGGCGATAATAACTATGACATTAGACGTTTTTGAAATGTTTTGGTGATAGCGGAAATACAAACAGTTAAATGTGTAATGTATGAGAAAAATATAAATAAATTGTAAATTGCAAAACAACGAAACTATTGTCGTCCAGAGTTGAGGATACGACAGTATTTCTAACAGACAATGCGAAAAAAGAAATATGCTCAAGAGAATAGGGAAGGAACACGATGCCAATAGAATTCATCAAACAGAAAGTGTGAAGTGCGAAATGATTAATCGAAAAGTTGACTATGGATAGAGAAAGAATCGAGTGGGCATACACAACTGCATTGGCGTGCGTCGAATATAGTGCGTCAAATGGCCATGCATCGAGTAGCCAAGGAGCAGTCTGCGAGGGATCATCGGCGAGCGAGCATGCGTCGCACAAGGATGCGTCCAGCAAACATATGTTGAACGGACATGAGTTGAGCAAACATGCAATGAGAGATCATGCGGCGAGCGATCATGCGGCGAGCGATCATGCGGCGAGCGATCATGCGGCGAGCGATCATGC